AGGCTGGAAAAGACAAAGTAATGATAGAACACAGAGAGAGAGAGGAGAGCACACTACTATTTCATATAAATGACAGCATGAGCATTAGATAAATCAAAAATTATGGTTAAAGAAGAAGGCTGGTATAAAATTACCAGCTTGTGAAAAGGAGAGGAGCAGAGTGGAAGCATGGACTAGTTTATGATTGCTGAAGAGGAAAAGTGACTGGATAGTAGAACAGTTTTCGAAAGAAATGGATTGGGAAAGGGAAGAAGAAAAAGTCCATGGCCCTGATGCAAGTTTCAGTGTGCTGCAGAAGTGCTGGGGAAGAAGGTACAGAAAAGGATCTTATGAGGATGGTGGAATCTGAAAACAGTGAAGTGGGTAAAATTTACAAAAAGAGCTACGTATTGAATCTATGAGAATCTTTTAAGCTGTGACAAGTGAGGAGTAATGTAGATTCAATATATGATATGACTAATTGTTTTCTTGAAAAGTGAGTGTTTGCACACTTTTCAGGGAATCTTCTTGCAATTAATAAATTATGTATTTAAAACAGATAGTCCTCTCATGTATTTGCTTATTTTAAAATTTGCTTTCATTTTTTGCCTATACCACTTTGAAAGACAATGTGCCTAGTTTGTACAAAAGTAAGAAAGAACTGGATTCAAGAGAGAAAAGGGGACTCTCTGAATGGGAATTGCAGTCCCGGTGTGAGTAGGGCACAGATGTAGTCAAATATTGCACTTCAGTGTTCTAGCCAAATTACATTAAATCAGGGTATAATTGCAATTTATGATGGATCACAAATAGTGAGGTGGCCTGAAAATGTCTAACAAACCACACGACTTTTGTATATATCATTTTACTGCTTTTTAATGTTTTGGAAACCATTCCTGCAGTCTTAAGTATGTGATGTCCTGAACAATCTGATTCTGTAGGTGGTGACACTTCTTGACATCACTAGGATGAGAATAGATTTAGAATAGGGAGATATCTGATTTAGGATAGCTCATCTATCCTTTATTGACAATAGAAAGTGTATTTGTATCTATGCTCTTAGGTATATTTTCTGAAGTAGTATTGATGTTTGACTACCTAAATCACCTAACTTATTAGTGAGACTTATTATCTTTTCAGGTTTTATGGTATTTCAAATCCAATGTGTAACTATAGTGCATTAATATTTTGAATTGTTACTGTTTTGGTTTTTTCCCCATATAAAATTATAATGAACTTTGTTCAGAGAGACAAAATCAAAAAAGCTCTCTCTCTGAATTCCTCATTTAGTTTATCACTTGAGACTAATGAAAAAGTAACAGAGTCTACATGGTTTCATTTGATTTATAGAGTTCATGCTACTGAGAATATTTAAGATTTCTTCTTCTATGTTGTTTTCTACCTTCTCTATTATCCTTGTCTTTGGGTAGGAATAACCCACATTTTCCATATTTGTATTGTATTTACCAAGCATTTATTATATATAGCAATTTTATATATATGCTATATTGCAAAATTAAATTTATTGCTTCTGTTCTCCCTGTATTTTCTTTATGCCAGTTAGTCCTCTGCTTGTATCTTTGAGGAAAAATGTCAGCATCTGTCCAGTATATGGCTGTGATTTTATGTGTTTGGATTTACACTTTAAGATAAAGAACTCACCTTTAACTAGTAGGGAATTATCTCATTAAAAAAAGATTCAGAAGTGTGGAACAGGCTTTGTATCTACAGGAAGGGTAACTGGAAGATGTGGCTTAATGCTATTAAAGAAGATTAAGGAAAACTGATTTTATTCACACTCAATGTAGTCACATAGCCTTTCACTCTAAATCTTCTTTTAACAAATATTTGTGCTCTTAACTATTCTCCTATCTACTCTTCCTCTTTTATCTGTATCCTTAGCATTGCAGAGTTTGAATGGTGTCAGGAAACATCTTTCCTGAGAGTTAGATGCATTGTGTCATTCTTCAGGTCTAATCACATCCAGACTAATGGCATATATTTATGGAACATACAGACTCCATGGAACGTTTCTGTCTTAATGTCTCCTCCATATCTTAACATTATGCCTGTTTGATTGTGCTATTGCACATCTATTTTGTGAAGGGTCTCCAAAAATGCAGCTTTCCAAATCTGGAAGTCACAGAAATTTCTAAGACCATGTATGCAGTGAAAGATCTTTGTTTTTAAGGAGAAAACTGAAATTAAGAAAAACCTTGAGGGAAAAAAAAAGAAGAGTAATTAACTTGCATCTCTTTGTCTTATGCTGCTTTTAGAATTTCAGATGGGCATGTTTGCTGTGTAAGATTTTAAGCATGTTTTTTTGAACAATAAGTTCCTAAATACTTCTCTTTAATCAGTGACATTACTTACAACGAAAAGTTCTGTATCAAAGCATGACAAAATAGATGGTACTTATTTTGTTTTATTCAGACTTGCAGTGCAATACCTGGTTTTCATTTAATTTGTAAGTTTATTCATTGAGAGTCTCGTTTGCTTCTAAATCTGTGTATAATACCCTTATACATACCACTCTCGTATATCAAGATGAACAATTGATCCAAATAAATGCGAGTTCCACAACAAAGCAATAACTATGCAGATGAAGACTGCCTATTGACATGATGTGAATTTAATAGAATTTTATTCCATGGTTTTGTTCTTAAATTTTAATGTATTCCCATCAACAAAGATCTATTTTTGTGGATTACAAGCTACAGAGACAGAGAATATTCAAACTGTTGTTTGTTACGGCATGGCTTCTTAATCAGGAGGAGATTGCTTCATATAAGTGCAATTGTGTCTAAATTAATTGGTCTATTAGTACTTCCTTCTTATCATTGTTAATTAAAAGAAGTTGGTGCATTACCATTCCACAACTTCTACTAATTCATTAATATTTACAAGAATTAATACAAAAATATTATAAGCCGTTTATCTCAAGAGATGAGACATCAGCTGAACAGGTATCCACAGTGAGAAGATACCTGTTATCTTCCATTTTCCTCTCTGGCTTCTATTAGAATTATTCTTCTAATATATTTGATCAATAAAAACTAAAAACTGACAAATATTTGTAATTAAAAATTCTTTTTGTTTGCCACTTTGCTGTGTAAATAACTTTTTTCACAAGAAATACTTTGCATAAGGACTTTTAAAAATGCAGTTTTAAAAAAGTGTTGGTACATGTGACAGATATGCAGCCAAATACTGGTCATTTGGTTCTAAAATCTTCAAAGGGAACTTCCCTGGTGTTCAATTGTGTCCATGCCTTGTTGCCATACCAGGCATATTCCTAATTTGGAAATAATGTGATTCCAAACATCCTTTGAAAATTTCTTAAGAAGGATTTAACTTTCTGCACTATATGTCTCAAAGCTATATATTTTTATGGATAATAAAAATAATAAATTAAGTAAAGGGGGTCATGATAGAGACTTTTTAATAACTGTTTTTGGCATAGAGAGCTTGCTTCAGGGCTATAGATGTGTAACAGAAAGCATTTTCAGAAAATGTTAAGTAATTTAACTGGGTTTTGGTGGTGGTAATAATGATTTATTTATTTACACTATATTAATGCAAGCTGTAATACACCAGGGAGAAGTAGATCTTTGTATTTGCTTATTTTTATTTCATCCTATGGATTCATTATACTTGCACAGATAAAAAGATATTTATGCGCCATTACTTTTTTTTAACATGTGAATACATAGCATCCTTTCTCAAAACTGTCAGCCACTATAGTTTCATATTACATATCTCATATATACTAAGTATGTGTGTTCATTCTGTAAGGAAATTTAATTGCCTTAAAATGCATTCTGAATAGGTATGTTACAATCTGCTTGTGTTTACAACATTTTGGTACAATCTTGGCATTTGATAGTAGATAAAAATTATTATCTGCCAGCTATAGAATAAAATTGTTAAACTATAGAACACAGTGGTTATCAGATGAAATTTAGTGTTTTCTTTCATTTCGTTTTATTGATTTATATTGCTTATTCTAGTTTTGCGTTTTTCAGTGATATCTTGATATTGACTGTAAAATGTGGATAAAATTATAGCATATTTTTGTGGTGTATGATATTTCTGGAATTCTTAATCTAAAATCTGCAGTGTTAATGAATTATGAGCAATGTTTTGTGACTCATTAACAAACTGCAAGTTGCAATTAGATCAGGGCTTACAGATAGATATCTTTTTTTATTTCTGATGATTTTTGGAAGAATGCATTTGTTCTACTAGTGATGGTAGCTTTTAACTTGCATGCATTTCAGTAACTTAGAGTTTTGTGAGATGAGAGTAACATTTGGTTCTGAAAAAGTATCTCCTGAATTGACCATGAGAGTTAATACCTATACATTCTCTTTTCTCACATTCTGTATTTTGATCTTGATAATACTGCCTTTGGCAGAGTGTTACAATAATGCAGTCCTTTCCAGAGTGTGTTATGTGGATTCTGAAATTCCTGAGTTTGTATATCCTTTTGAAAAAAATCTGTTTTCTGCTTTGGATATGTGAAGTTTGGTTCAGCATAAATTACAACAATTTAATAATTGAAAAATCTAATAATAGACTTCCCATTGGTGACGTTAAACTGAATGTTCAGTACTTGAAAGAGAAATATAATGCTTGTATTCAACTAGATTACCTTCCAAAAAGTTGAACAGTCATGAACAAGTGTTTATGCTAGTTAACATACCTTTTACTATCCAGCTTTTTCTTCAGCTTCATTGCAAGGATTGACTTTGCTGTCAATTATAACTTTTATTATTTCCTCAGCTCCTATACTAACCCTGTCTTTACTGTTCTTTTTCAACAACAGTAGTTTAACCACTTCTTCCTCAGCTTTCTTTTCCTTCTGGTGTCTGTGTTATTTTTTTCCCCATTTACTAACTCTGCTCTGCAGACTTCTCTCTAAAACAATTTTTGGCCCTTTCCCTCAGTGTCAGTTTTAACCTTCTGAATACATCCTCTCACGCCCATCTCCTTTGTCTATGTCTGTACATTACACGATGTGATCACAGAAGAAGTGGAATCACCAAGGAGAAGAAACTCAGGTCTGTCTCTTCTACTGCTTTTCTCTGTGTTATTTTTTCATTTTACCTTTCTTATAGATTTTATCACAGCTCACCTCACATACTTTTCACTCACTTCCCCCTCAGTATATTTAAATATTGGCAAACTGTAAGAATTTAAGATGCTTATGTAATTTTATTACATATAAACTATGTACTCTACAAAAAGTGTTAAAAGGTAACTAATGACGTGTGCTATACCTTAAGACTTTAAACTGATTCAATTTCTATCATATCAGTTCTTATTTCCCATCTCCATTATCTGTAAATTAGCCTTTAAGCTTCCAACTAGCACATGAAGTTCTTTTTATCTTTGCATTTGAAAACTGCTACAAAAATTTTGGAAACTCTGATAAGTAGTTATTTTTCACCCTGGGGAGGATATAATTTGAGAACTGAATAATTTTAGTAAGTTAAATTTCATGCACTGGAATTTCAAACTCAGCTTCAATGAATAAAAACTATTTCGAGTAGGAGTCGTTAGTGATGAAAAGCTATTGTTTCATGACAAAAAGTGTAAAACATAAGGTTATGATAACAAGAGAGAGCAAGAAGTCAAAACATTGAAGGAGTTCTGACTTAGCTGTATTGTTCATGGCTTTTCTTTCATATTGTGCATTATTTGTGGTTTCTTCATGCATATCGAATTTTAATCTGCCATTTTACTGAATTTTCCATGTACTTTATATTACTGGCAGAGAACTAATATCTAGCAAGGCATCCTAGCTCTGAAAATTCAGTAGTTGTTCACACTTCCCTGGTTGTTCAGTTGTGGTATGTCAGAACAACAACAAAATTCCTATATTTAAGTTAAGTAAATTCACCTATAAAATTTAAATTTTACAATTATTGTGTCAAAGCTCTAATTAATTTCCTGTGCCTCTGCTATTTTCCCAACAAATTAGAGAAGCCACTTGGATGCCATTTAGCTTCTAAAATCTGAAGCAGTTTTTGGGTACATGGACTGGTGCATTAAACTTAGGTGCTATTTAATCAAACATTTTTGTCTTTTCTCTAGTATGGCTGGCTCCTTCAGAACTCAGTTTTACCTTTGGTACTACTCTTGTCCCAGTGATTATTTTTATGGAATCTTGCAGATGTTACTTGCTGTGGTTTTCATATCAAACAAATCTCGAGACAGAAATCACTTAAATTGCAGGTGAAAATCAGTTGAGAGTGGATAAACAAGACAACTAGTAGTGTGATCTGAATCCCATCTTCTGTAAATCACCACTATTAGAAATTATTAAATTATGCTGTAGAAAGACTGAGTTTACTTACCTTGTGCTTACAATCCATTCCTAGTTCCTGTGCAGCGATTCTGAATCTCTTTCATTAAAAAAATTAAAATAGAGAAATGGGTGACCCGTTTCCTAGCTCTTAATAATAAAAGAAAAGGAAAGTTGTGGACCTTTTTATTCATGAACCTTCCTCTGAGTTACTGATTGAATCAATATATTGAACTGAAATATTGACTCAGCCCATCTGATTCTTGGGGTTGGAAGAAATCAGACCTTAAAATGGTATCTAGCGTCTCAGAAAAACACATTTTTTCATCACCTATGTTTCTTGAACATATGTGAGAAGGCAGTACCTGTGTATTATTAACTTTTTGGGACTTGCCAATTCAGATGCACTTTTGCAAAACACTGTTTAGCTCACCAACAGTGTTAAGTAAATGTATAGGCACTGATAAATTTAACTGTCTAGCACAGAAATGCAAAAGCATGATCAGCAGTGCAATTGCAAAAGTTATTATTACTGCCCTTAAACTCAGGAGCAATTAGTTTATTTTGTGCATAGTAACGTATTTTCAGGTGTACATTTGAAATGGGTACTCTCCCATGTTTTACTTCAATGTCAAAATAGCTTACACATTTCAGTACAAGGCATTTTGAGCGGCTGTATACACAGCTAAAAGTAAGGGTGACATTTCAAAGGCATACCTTTAGAAGGAGATGTTTTCCCATTGTTTTAGAATTTGCTTTTAAAAGTGTGGAACTAGGATTATGCGTTTGCAGGTTTCATTAGGAAATGGTTTTCACAGTATTTACCATGCTACCAAACATTCACGCAAATTAAAGGATTAGCTATTGATTTTAGGTGTTATTGGATCAAGAGGTGTTGTGAAAGCTAAATATCTGAATATGTGAATATTGTATTGAAAGAAAAATATTGCCATTTCCTCTCTCTGGATATTACAGTCTTTAATTGCATAAATAAGAAAATTTTATTCCCTGAAAAAATGTAGATATTTTTAAACTGAAAAGTACTATAAAAGTACATGCAAAGCTTATGCTGTGTATTTCAAGCACAAAAACAATTTCAGAAAACTAACAAGCAATAATATTTTTATATAAATTCTGTTATCTGACATCAGTACAGCTTGATAGCATCCTTAATGACTAAACCCTGTTTTTCTTGGGTGAAAGAGGAGCTTTGCAATGCAGAGTTTTCACATTTTGTTCCTAAAATCATATTTTTGAAATAATTTAATATGTTTCATAGGAATAAAGTCTTGTGAAAACTGTTAGGGAGACATATGCCTGTTCAGCTCCCTATGTATTTAATATGGGCAATGGAAGTAAGCCCCTGCCTGCCGAAGAACCTTAGTGATCAAGCAGACATCTTTCTTTTCATCAGTAAGATGGTTCAGACCAACCAGCTACCATTGTGCCACCAATTCTTTGCAACTGCAAGTAATACTTACTGTAGTTTTCAAACATGACTTACAGAAACCATTCTTCAGCCTTGCAAAATCCATCTAGGCCTAGATGTGAGCTGACTCAAGTAACTATACCCAAAAATTGGTCACCAAAACTATGGAAAGGCTGATCCATGACAGTTTAAAGGCAGTCAGCGTACATGTAGCAGAAATAGTGCTGGCTAATAATTCTAGGTTTATTCCAGGATGAGAAGGGATAGAGTAGTGATGCCCAGTCATTGCTGCTTTCCAAGGAGGTGGATGGAAGTTAGAAAATGGAGTAGTAGAGTCAGGTCTATTTCTAAAGGGCCATGAAAGCAGGGAAATAGAGATTCCAGTTCTTTTCTGCAACATCTGGAGCAAAACTCTAATGTTAAGAGCACATGAAGAATTGATTAGAGTTTTTGCTACATTTGAGAATGAAATTCAAATAGACAAGGACTAAAATTTTTTTTTTCTGTGTTTTATCATTTTTATGGAAAATGACGTTTCTTTGTAATAATATAGTTGCTGGGAGTGAAGCCTACAAAAACTAAAAAACCCTATTAAAGATGAGTGACCAAACTTGAAGAGCTCATGACCCTGCAGGCCAAACAGTAGAAGGGTCTGGCAAATAAACTGTTGGAGAAAGCAAGGGCAAAAAATTTGTATGATTGAGAGAGTTTAAGAGATCAACTGCAGTAGAAGACAAGAACAGTTATTTGGACTTGTTCTTATCTTACAGTATCACAAGAGGTTTTTCAAGCCTTCCAAGAGCAAATCTACTGTGATATACTTACCTTTTATAAACAGAACATGACACCCCTCTGGTTTTGAGTTACTGTTATAGTCAGTATTCAGTGACACACTTCTCTTTAAAGACCAGGATGGTGCTTTGCTTTGTTTCCGTCTTTCTTATATTGAAAAGAAATTTCTGGATGGAATTTGTAACATTTTAGCACAAATATGATTAAATTACTTGTGCATCTCTGAAGGCTTCTGTGATATTTCGTTTGACAGACATGTTTAAAACCTGATGCCTTAGACTGTTACTGAGACATTTAAAGAGTCCAAATCTGTATTTGGTCAACAAAAAGCCAAAGGGATAGGTAAACTCCAAATTCGGTGTACAGGTATTTAGCATACTAATAGATATATCATATTGGATGGCTGGGACGTTCTTTGTTCTTATTGTAAAATTTGATTAGAATTAAAACCAGAAACCAAAGGCCTCAAAATCCAACCCCCAAAATAGCCATCTGTACTGAACTATGTAAATAAAGGCTGATCTTCTGTCTGCTGAAGGAAAAATAGTAAAAATATCAGATTATATAATTAAAAATGAGCGCATAATTGTGAAAAAGACAGAATAGCATTACATATATATTCTTTATCAGTAAAGGTTTGCTAGTTAAATTTGTAATTCTCCTGAGTCTTAGATGCAGATGAATACACCACTGTTGTTTTTCTGTTCTTTGGTTAAATCTTTGACCATATTTCTGGTTATTGAGATGCTAATGAAGATATCTTGCATTCTTAGGATGGCTGAAGAATCTCTATTAATAGCTGTTTGCTTTTCTGGAAGCAGAGGCATAGTCATCATCAAGTGTTTGTGCCTATGTTTTGAAGTGGCTGTATCAGAATGTGAAATATTCTGTGGTTATATTGTGGAGTATACCAGTGGTGGGAACTCTGAGGAGCTTGCCTGTTTGGCAAACAGGATGTTGGAGAGCTTAACAATAAGCCTGTGCTCAGGCTTTCATGAAGACAATGCAGAGTTTATAGCACGGCTGATCTCAATGGATTTTCATGAGTACAGAATGTAAGGGCCCGCTGACCCCTCAGATATTTTTCTTTTACATTTTCAAAATCCTATTGCATACCATTCATATAGGGAGGATGTGCCAGAATTCTTTGGAGAAGTGAAGTGGGGTGTTTTAGCTATTATTTGTCTCACTGCTTCTTTCTTTCTTCCTTTTTCCATGTGGACACTCAGTATTTTTCCAAGGCCACTAAAATGTATGTACACTTTTGTATGAGGCAGCAAGTATAAACATCACAGAGTACCCTGCAAAAATCACTTTGGAAAAGGATCCACACACTATAAAAAAAGAGCTGGTCATAACAATAATCATTACTTTAATAAACATGCAAAACAGAACTTCCCAGCTTGCTTCAAAAGACCTTTGTCCATTAACAGCTGCACTGATCTATCCCTAGTGTGGAAGACCTGAGCTGAACTCATGATTCTAGAGATTCTTTGACTTTCTAGCTTAGATCACCACACCATCTTATTCAA